TTGGGCTGTAGGAGCCCCTCCGGAGTCTGAACCCCCAGAGACGCGGGTACCCGAACTAGGAGTCGGGCTGCGCGCCGCAACGGTCATGTTCATTGCATTGCATTCATGCATTTATACCTATTTTTCCTACTTGTCTTGGTATTGTTGTTGTTCCACCGTTTTATGTGTTGAATCGTTGATTATAGCTTTATATTGTAATATTTCGGGATTTCTTACTTTCAATCATTATATATGTTTATTACTCACTGAGTTGGAAGTACTCACTTTACTCCCTGCACCATGTGTGCAGATTCAGGTGCTCCGGAGACTTAGTGGAGCTGTTTGCTGTTTTCGTGAAGTTTATTTTCAGGAGTTGTTGAGGTAGCTGCCTGACGTTCGCAGGACCCGACTCCTCCCCTTTATTTCATTTATCTTTCCATATCCTAGACTTCTTTATTACTATGGATATATTACTCTGTTACATTTAAAGGCTCTAGACTCGTGACTCCAGATCTATTGAGGAATGTTTGGATATTCGTTATTATTTTCCGTACTATTTTATTTAGATTCGGATTGGAACCTTGATATTTGCTATTTTAAATCGTATTATTTGTTAACGGATTGCGTATATGGGTTGAGAGTATTTAATTGGTCGGGCTTGCCTAGCATTAGTGTTGGGCGCCATCACGACCGGGATTGGGGTCGTGACATCTCTCTAACTTGAGGAACCGCCAATTTGAGGCTTTACAAATGTAAAAGTTAGACCCATTGGTTATCCATTGGTTACTTATTGGTTATCCATTTTCTAAATGGATAATATGGTTCTTATCCATATTTGACCCGTTTTTTAAAAATTTATTATTTAACCCATTTTTTAGTGATAGTATCTTTGGACCATTTCAGCGCAGCAATGTCTTTATTGACTTTATCCACTTTTATGTGGCGGATTGAATTCAGAGTCTATATAAGAAAGAATTAAAAAATATCTGAAAAGTATAGTCTTAAACTTGCCATGATATTATTCATTAAGGATAAACTGAAAGATTTAAATATAAAAATATTTTATTTTTATATGAACTAATAAAAAAAATATCACATAAAACCTTAGCCCATTCCCATTTTGAAAAAAGAAGAAGATAGATATTAAAATTTGATTAGTGAGAGACATAGAATCCGTCAATCATATAAAACAAGGATATGAACAATCCTTTTTGTGGATATCATTATAAGCACGTGAAAGGCGTGGTAGATCCATACACAATTTTTTTTTAATTATTTTAGAGTAGGGAAAGGAAAAAATGGCGAGAGAATTATAACGTGGAGAATCTAACCTTATCAATAAAGTAAAAATTCAATTAACCAACCAACTAAGCTACTAAGATTCTCTGACCATACACATAACACTCAAATATTACTAATAGAGAGCTTTTAATATTAGTATAAGATTTTTTACTCCGTTATCAGCTATTAGTATGATGTTCTACCCCCTTATCAAATTAATAACCACTTAAGTAGTTCAGTGATGAGAATTTTGGTAATACAATTTTTTTTTGATTTTTCATTCGTTGATCGATTCTTGTTTTAGGCCTCGACTAATTCGGATTTACAACGAGAAATCTTATTGAAATACTCCCTAGCAAAGCCTGGTAAACATCTAATAAAAAAGCTAACTTCGAGTTAGATTTTTGATGTTTTGAATAGAGTTTTTGTAGCAATTATTTTAGAGATGATTTTTATCATTAGTAATTCAACAAGGGATACCTATCTTTGACACGTCTTTGCTTAGCATTAAATTCAATTATTTCTTTTTTTGATAAGTCAAAATTCTATTTTCTGGTAAGATACATATTTAACTTTTATTAATGGCGTACCAATGTTACTTTTTGTGATACGCATGCTTATAAGTCACCTTTTTCAATATAAATAAAACACGTTTTTTTAGGTTTCGGAGTTAAATTAAGGCGCAAGGGCATTCAATTGAATTTACTTTAGTGAAAAATTGGAGTATTGTGCAAATATATAGAGTAAAAAATGAGTGTAATTTTTCCAGTTTTACACAACAGGTTTCTCAAAGAGTTTCTACAAATGAGCCTCTTTTTTTTTTTTAAAAAAAAAGAAGGGGAGCGGGGGAGACATGACAAGTTACATGCTATAACAAGCAACAATGACATGATAATGTAAAATTCTTTATACTGACGATTTATATAATTTAAACTCTATATATAAACGGTTAAATTTCCTTGACATAAGAAAAATTCTAATTAATTAGGAAAGTGTGTTAACAATTGCTTCAAATCACGAGTTCAAATCTCAAATATAATATTTATAATTTTTTTTTTAAATCCTCTTCTGTAAATTTCGGGCTCCTAGGGTTGGCAAAACCCATAGCTTTTCCTATATAAAGGGGAAGATACAAGATGTTGATGACATATATTCAAGTACCTCTAACTTTTTCAAATCTTTAATTTGCTTTCCCATTTTCCATATTATCCTACCATGATTTTCCAAAAAGAAACCATGGAAGTTGAAATCTTGTCAACAAAGTTGATAAAACCATCTTCACCAACTCCAAATCAACTTCAAAATTACAAACTATCTTTCTTTGATCAAATAGCTGATGAGGCACATTTACCTCTTGTTCTTTTCTATCCTCCTAGCGACAACAATACCAATAAGAATACTACAGCTGAAGAACAACTCGAGCAATCTTTATCTAGAATATTAACCCATGTTTACCCAGTTGCTGGTAGATTTACTGAGGATAACTCCTCGATTAACTGCCTCGATCAAGGGGTTAAATTTATTAAAGCCAAGGTAAATTGTAAGCTCAATGACTTTCTTGAGAAAGCACACAAAGATGTCAATCTTGCCTTATCTTGTTGGCCTCAAGATACTTGGGATGTTGATGAAACTAATTTGTTCATCACACCAATTACCATTGTGCAAGTCACAAAATTCAATTGCGGTGGCATGGCTCTATCTATGAGCCATGCACATACCGCGATGGATGGTTTCACAACTTTTACATTGGTTCACGAGTGGTCAAAAGTGTGCAAATTGGGGATTCCTACAGAGAAAATCAAGTTTTTGAGCTTTAATTTGGCTAAGATTTTCCCACCAAGAGATGTATCGAAAATTCTCTTGCCTCGTGTCCCCCAGGAAAATCGTATGGATGCTAAACTAGTTGCCAAGAAGTTATACATTAACCAAGATTCTATTTCAAGACTCAGAGAAGAATTAACAAAATCAACGGATTCTGGAGCTTTATGCTTTAAGCCCTCAAGAGTTGAAATGATTATAGCGCTCTTATGGAGGGCTTTAATACGCGCTTCAGAGAAACAACACGGGCATTTGAGACGTTCTATAATGGGCATTCCAATAAATTTGCGTACTAAGCTGATTTCTTTACCCCAAGTAGAAAAATCTTTTGGAAATCTTGTAATTGATGCTCCGGTAAAATTTGTACCTGAGGAGATCCCCAACATGGAGTTGCACAACTTTGTAAAATTGATCAGGGATACGGTGACTAAAACTATTACTGCTTGTGACAAAAATTCACCAGACGACGTAGTTTCTGCACTAGCAAATATATATAATGAGAGTTTCCTCGCGCAAGAATGGGGAGGAAATGAAAAAGTTGACATGTTTACAAGTTCAAGTTTGTGTAGGTTTCCTATACAAGAAGCTGATTTTGGTTGGGGAAAACCATGTTTAATGCATTTTGGATCAAGACATAATCAGTATTGTTGGTTATATGATGCAGAATGTGGCAATGGGATTTGTGTGCAGGTGGATTTGAAGGAAAATAACATGCACTTATTTGAATGTGACCAAGATATCAAGCATTTCTTTAAGTTTTAGGTTCTTATAAGAGTTTTATCATTTGGGTTCTTTTTCTTTTTGAATTTTGGTAAGTTGCATTTTCTATATTTGTTAGCCTCTAAACATTAGATTAAATACTCTTCTCTAGCTATTTCAAGTAGACTTGAATTCCATATATATAATATATAAATAATGAGCATGTTGTGCAAATTTTCTATCCTCCTCAACATTATCACATTTATATTAATTGGCTTATTTTATTATAGGATTTGTATTTTAGAAATTCTTAATGTGGTATTCATTCATCTTTAAATAGAGGTCTCGACTTTAAACTTTAAGAATATAGAGGTCTCGACTTTAAACTTTAAGAATGTAAAACTTTTTGGTAGGGAATTGAACGCTTTACCCTCTTACTTTACCTAACTAGTGTGAATTGAAATTCCTAAAACAAAAAAACAAAAAAAAGAAAATTGGGGCTCTTTTGATTGAAACCTTTTGTACGTCTATTTATTTTGTGTGCAAAGGACAAATGTACAATAGCTTTTTCTTAGTAGACAAAGGGGTCGCTTGATTGGTATCATCTGGGGATTTAATCTCCAAACTTATTCTTGCATTATCATAACAATATTTATTTACTATTTTTCTGTTCCATTTTCATTAAAAATATGGGGTATGTGAACAAAGTCCCATAATAACAGTTGAAAAGATTAGGAGCCTATATATAAAATGTAGAGATCTCTTAATGGTGTGAGACCTTTTGGGAAAACCGTGTGAGCTTGGTCCAAAACGGACAATATCATACCATGTTAAGAGTATTTTTAAGCCATTTTAGCCCAACAACTGGTATTGGAGCTCATGTTCAACGGGATGAGTATGGCGATGGCAGAGTGATGGTGCCAGACTCGGTTGGAGACGCATACACAAAAAGAAGCTAGTTGGTAGTGAGCCACATGGAACTTAGTTCAAGGGGGAGATTGTTTGGTGAACGAACAAAGTCCCACATTAGTAGCTGAAAAGATTGGACGCCTATATATAAGGTGTATGGATCTCTTAAATACCTCTTTAACGAACAATAATAACAAGATTTCACAAAAAACTGACGTAAATAAAATAATTTATTAAAAATCAAATTCACATCCTCTTGGATCAAACTTATAGAAGCTCTAACAAAAACCTAAATCTTAGTAAAAGCAAGGAAATCTTGGTCACGTTCAATTAAGTCCATGTAATTTTCCTTTAGATCCATTTGCACAGCAATACTAGTACCACATTGTGTATAATACAACAAAAACACTTGATTATGTCTTGATCCAAAATGTATTAAACTTGGATTCCCCCATCCAAAATCTGCTTCTTGCATATGAAATCTACACAAACTCGAGCACGTAAATTCCTCAAAATCATCGTTACCTCCCCACCTTTTGGGAATTTCATAATTGAAATTCCTATAACATTTGAACCAAAAGTGAGCAATATGGAGTTACAAGACTTTATAATATTGATCAGAGAGACAGTGCAGACAATTGTTAATTATTGTGACGTAGCTTCAGCTGACGTGACATCTTATCCTCGAGAGCCTCATAGTCTTTCTCCCACTGATCAATTTCAGTTATCAACTCCTCCTTCTCTGTTTTAGAAGCATCAAAAGCTATCTTTAAAGGAGTAAGGGAACTTTCCATGAACTTAACCTTATCAGTAGAGGCACTGAGGTCTTCTTGAGTTTGAGTAAGTATTTGAACCAACTCTCCTGAATAAGCTTCTTTCTGGTTAAGGAGTTCCCTCAAACTCCTTATCTCCTCGGTTGCCTTTGAAAGCTACTCAGCAAATGAGGACTCAAGGATATCCTTATCCTTACCAACTTGGCTTGAAGAAGCTTATTCAATTGCTAATGCAGCGGCGATCACATGCATTTGTTGCTCTAAGGCATCCTTCTCCTCTGCCAACACTTCCTTCTCCGGTTGAAGACCTTCAAATTGCTCTTTCCAATTGTCAGCTTCGGTACGATAATCAACAATTTGTTGGTCAGCATGGACGATTCTTTTTTTGAGTTCTGTGCCTATTAAGTTGATCTATAAATGAAGAAAAGAGGTTATTAATAGAATGAAAAGGGAAGAAAGAAGGAGTAAAATGAAAACTCGAACCTTCAGAGATGAATGAACAATATCATTCATCCAAGTCAATGAACTGTGACTCTCCAACTTTGCCTTCTTCATGGGGCCTAGTAAAGGCTTCAACCACACGTCGGCTTGGCCCGACTTCTTCAATAAGTTCCCACCTTCAGGAACCTCAACAACAATTTTCTTCATAGCCTTCTTGCTACTGGAGGGATCAACTTCCATGTGAGGAGTGGTAGCGGTTGAAATAGCAGATGAAGTAAAAGCAGTCACGAGGGGAGCATCAGCAGCAACTTCAGGTAAGGGGACTTGAGGATAATCGGGGATTGACTGTGAAAAAGAGGTAAGGGAAAACTCCTCATAAACGAGATCGAAGGCTTCTTCACTTTTGAAGCCATGGACAAACAGCTGCTCAGCAGAAGCAGGGGGGATCATTCACTTCTTCATCAGAAATCAGTAATGGAGCATTTTCTGGTTCATCTAAAGGCCTGGGAGGAACAGATCTTGATGGAGAGGTAGTTTCATCGTCGAAAATAATGCGCCTCCTAACTCGAGGTCTATGAACTAAAGAACCCTCCTCTGGTTCTTCTTCTCCCTCAGAGCCACGGGCTCCATCAACCTTCCTCTTTGAAGAAGAGCTCAAAAATCTTTCTTGAGCAAGACTCACTGTAAGTCTTGCAGATGAAACAGAAGCAGGACTAACACCGTGAATAGGAAATCCTAACAAAGGAAAAGAGTCATGGTAAGAACCTCTAAAGTTAGCAAAAGAGAAAAAGAAAAAGACTAAGCTGGAAAAAGTACCGTGTGTCTTAACTTTCCACCCAAATCTCTGTGAGAGATACTTCCAAGATCTTTTCCCCATAGGGGCAACAGATAGCAACTTTTCTACCCAAACATGGAAGTTAGGGATCTCCTCAAAAACTTCCATAGTTGCTGAAAAAGTATGCACGAGTATACATGAGAATCATTTTTGAGAAAGGAAAAAGATAAGGTGCAAATACTTACGTGCAAAATTTTACTTTTACCTACTCTCTCATTAACACAAACACACGAGACATTGGTTCAAAAAACTCTCTCTTTCACACTAAAGCTTTCTGCTCTCTTTTGTGTTACTACTGTTTAAAGTCAGACGGCTGCAAGCCAAGGCTAACTACTGGGTTCTCTTTCACTTTGTGTTTACTATCCCCTTACTGGTATGTTCTGATTTTAATTCAAAGTCCCAAAACAATATGCTTCTCCTATTACTTCAATTTGTCATGTTTCTAATATGCTTATATATACGGTTTTGTTGTTCAACCTGCAATTAACATGTCTACTTCAATGTCTTCTTTGTCGCATGCTATATACCCCCTTAGTATCCCCTTCTAGTGTGCCCCAATGTGACTATGTTTCTCTGACCCCTGGCATGCACCTTCCTGTATGAAGTAATTGGCTACCCTAAGCCTATTGATTTTTTTAATGCTTCAGGATATTTAAGCTTACCGCGTAAATTCAATGGAAATGACATTAATGATGGCTTCCATTTCCCTGTTATTGCATGTGAAGCGCGAAGTAGAGCCCTCCATAAAATTGCTGTGATCATCTCAACTCGTGAAGGTTTAAAACTTAAAACACCTGAATTGTTACAATTTGTTAATTTATCTCTGAGTTTTAATTAAGAGACTTCATCTATAACAAACTTTTTGGCCACCAATTTAGTGTCTAGACGTTTTCCAGTGAAAATAGCAGAAGGCTTAAAAATCTTGGATATATCTCTTGGTCCAAAAATGTAACCAAATTAAAGCTCATGATATTTTCAGCTGGAATTCCATATTTACACACTTAGACCACTCATAAATGAACGTAAAACTTGTCCATCCATCGATAGCAGGGTGTGCAGTACTCATAGATAACACGAATCCACCACATTGAAAAATTGTAATTTGTACAACCATAATTGGTATGGTGAACAAATTAGTCGCGTCCACATCCTTAATTCCTTGTGGCCAAAAATGCAATTGCAGGTCGAAATTAGTACGTGTTTGTTGGAGAAAATCATCCATTTGATAATTGACGTTGGCTTTTATGAATGTTACATCTTGATCTTGACAATTAATTGAACGTTTACTTTCAGAAAATCTCCCAGCAACTGGATAAACGTGAGTCAAAACCCTAGAAAGTGATTCTTCGAGTTGTTGTACCATATAATTAATGGTGTAGGAAGAGTTGATAGGGTTATGTGGATAAAAAAGAACAAGAGGCATATGTGTTTTCTCAGCTATTTGGTCAAAAAAAGATAACTTAAAATTTTGAAGGTGATTAGGAGTTGGAGAGGATGGTTTTATAAGCTTCTTGGAAATGATTTCAACTTGAATTTGGTCACTCAAATTAACACAAAGGCTACCCATTTTTGATGTGGTAAAAATATATGGAATTAAGGAAAAGAGAGAACTATTACAAGGTTATAGACAATTTTGATATATCTAATTTTTGGGATACTTTCAAATTCAGATCTAATTTTTTGGCCTCAAATGGTAAAAACTGTTGGGCTTAAACGGCCCAATGACACTCATAGTGTGATATTGTCCGCTTTGGGCCAAGCCCGCATGGTTTTCCCCAAAAGGCCTCACACCATTAAGATATCCCTACACCTTATATGTAGACTCCCAATCTTTTCAGCTACCAATGTGGGACTTTGTTCGCACACCCAACAATCTCCCCCTCGAACTAAGTTCCACGTGGCCCACTACCATGATCCACGGGTCAATTTCCGAGATTCACTGTGTGCCACCTACATCGTTAGAGTATTATGGCAATCGAAGCCCGCAACTAGCTTCTTCTTGTGTGTGCACCGCCCTGCACCATCACTCCGCCATCTCCATACTCGTTCCGCTGAACCTGGGCTCTGATACCAGTTGTTGGGCTCGAAATCCCAATCTTCATCGGATATACTCTCGGGTTTATGAGCTGAAGAAACGGGTAGATGCATCTTCTTCACGAACAACAAGTCTTTCATCTTGCTTCTCCAAACATTATAATTTCTCCCATTTAAACATACCATCTTGCTCATATTCGCCTCCATTCCGTAATAACCCGGATAAATAACCCTGGCTCTGATACCACAGGTAG